TCCTAGAGCCTCAGTTTTGAGTGAAAATGCTAAGCAACAGTTGTCCATGCCTGAGTTCAAGTCCTAGTACCAGCACGCCTGTTTATGCGTGCGCGTGCAAGCACACGTATGCGTTCACACATGCGCTCGTGCACACACACACACACACACACACACACACACACAGAGCAAAGGAATCAACTGCAAAAAGGTCTTGAACTCCTGAAGGCTGAGGGTAAATGGGAAACCTGGAAAGGTCCTCAGTATTCGTCAAGTTTGTGTCTTCAAAAGAGCCCCAGGGCTGGGTGCCTGAGATGCATGCTCACATCCTGGGGCTACAATGACAAAGCCTAGGCTAGCAGCCACACATGCTCCAGGGGCTACCTGCACATCATCCCCCACCGCCGGACAACTGCCAGGGCAGCTACGGTGGCCCTTCTTCCCATTCACTGTTTGTTGTCTAGAAACTTGGTTCCTGCACCTGATACTGCCTTCCCTATTGTTCCTTATTAGCATAAGTAGTATGATACCCCTCCACTCATAGATCTGGTCAAGAATCCAGGTAAGGCACAGCAAGGACAGGTCATCTCTGCTCCATGATGGCTGGGCTTCAGCTGGGAAGACACTCCAAAAGCTGGGAGGGAGGTAAAGGACAGGGCTGGAGTCACCTGGCGGTATCTGGGCTTGGAGTCACCTGGAGGTATCTGTGTCAGGTTTGGATTGTCAACTGGAGCCCCCACAGGTATCTCCCATATAGCCTGGGCTGCTCACCTCATGGCAGTTAGACTTGTTGGCCTCTTAGTGTGGGGGCTGGGAATTACTCAGCCTTGAAAACCCCGAATCTCACTTCTCTTTTCGGGTGTGCTGATCCTGGGGCTTGAACTCAGGATCTGAGCTCTGTCCCAGATGTAACAGTAATATGTTGTTGTTGTTGTTGTTCTAGGCTAGTGCTCTACCACTTAGTCACAACTCCACTTCCCACTTTTTGGTGGTGAATTGGAGATGACCTGGATCATCAGATCTTAGCCTCCTCAGTAGCTGGTAATACAAGCATGAGCCACTGGTGCCTCACTCTGCTGCATCCTTTTTGTTACAAGGGTACAGTGAGGTGCAGGTGAAGGAAGGGCAGCCCACCCCAAAGGGGAGAAAGTCAGCGAACTTAGAGCCACGTTAGCAAGCCATCGCCAAAGCAGCGCACTGGTGTCTCACATCTATAATCCTAGCCACTCAGGAAGTGAAAATCTGAAGAGCCCAGTTCAAAGACTTGAGAAGACAAATCCTGGAGACTCATCTCCAATTAACCAGAAAAAAGCTGGATGAAAAGGTATGGCTCAAGTGGCAAAGGGCCTGCCCTGAATGAAAAAGCCAAGTGAAAGCACTAGGCCCTGAGTGGTATCTATTCACTACAATATATTTGGGGACAGTTCATTCTGAGCCAGTAACTGCAGCGACAGGATGGCAAGTTAAGCCTCGGTACTGGCACACACATATACAAAACGCGGCACCAGGGACACAGGCATTTCTGTCCTATAACTGGCAGAACTAAATTCTGCTCCTAACTACAGGCGTTTGTTAAAGGATACTGAGGATCATCAAGGACTGCAGGTCAGTCCAAGAGAACCTGCAGAGGTTCAGCTGTGTCTTTGGACACCTGACCTCTCTGAACACCTCAGACTGAACAACCCCTGGGTGATGTTTTAAGCAACTGTTTGTTGATCTGCTACATAATAGTCAGTCAATGTGTCAGTATATGGATGTTTTACCCATACGGTGTTTGAACTCAGGGCCTTCCATTTGCTCACTTGGTGCTCTATCACTTGAGCTATACCTCTCACCTAGCTTTTTTTCTGGTTTGACTAGAGATGGAGTCTTGCAGGCTTTTCTGCTTGGGCTGGTTTCAAACCTTATTCCTCTGATCTTAGCATCCAAAGCAGTTAGAATTACAGGTATGAGCCATCAGCGCTGGGCCTCCTATGAAGCCTTGGAACCAAGAGAACTTATACTGTACCTTTGAGGGACAGGAGCCAACAGGGACTCCATGACTTCCTGGGAGGAGAGGAGTGGGACAACACCCCCCATCTCCACTTGCACAGACGTACTTTCTACTCATCAGCCACCAGGTGTCTCCAGCGTCCCTATGAGTAGGTACCTTCCCCACCTTTCAGACCTGAAATGGAAGGAACAGAACAAGACTGCCCCAGGCTTTCCCAGTGAGGCACTAAAGCCCACAGAGGTAGGGGGCTATTCTAAGGTCCAAAGGCTCCAGTATGGTCTCTAGCCAGGCATTTGCCTTGCAAGTCAAGCAGAAGACCAGCCTCCTTGATCATGTCCTTTGGCCTTGACTGGGGTAGCTGCTGAAGTGAATGGGCAGAGCTCTGGGTTTGGGGAAGGCTGTAGTTCCTAGTGGCTGCTGTCTGTCTGGTGGGCAGACTTAGAAAGAGACAATAGCAAAAGTGGTGCTGAGGGTGTTGAAGGTTAGAGACTTGGCTTCTTTTGAGATAGGAAGAGAGGCCTGAGGCATCCTGGCTGACATAACCAGGTTAGTGACCCAACTCCCTTTGTCTAGCCTTGCCCTCTATGCTACACATGGTTCACCCCAAAGCAGACAAAGAGACTGAACTTACAGTGCAAGATGTTTATTAGCATGAATATCTGTGAAGAGAAGCAAGACCGGGCACACGGAAGGAAATCAAACTCCTGCAGTCTTGACATGTCTGTCAGTGAATCCTCCATAGGGAATGCTTCCCTGGGACAGCAGACGCAAGCTGCCAGAGGCGCGGCCTAAAAAGCTGACAGAGGCCATCCTCCCCAACCCAAGGCTAGAAGCCCTACCTTGAAAGGACTATTTTTGTTTGTTTTTGGTCGGTCGTGAGGCCTGAACTCTGGGTCTGGGCACTGTCCTTCAACTCTTCAGCTCAAGGCTCTCTACCACTTGAGCCACAGTGCAACTTCCAGCCTTTTCTGCTTAGGTGGTGCTGAGGAATCGAACCTCAGGGCCTCTAAGCACTCTACTATTGAGCCACCTTCCCAGCCTTTGAAAAGACTTCTGTATAAGACTTCTCTGGCTCTATACCTTCTTGAGAGCGGCCATCTTTCTTTTCCGTCTCCTACGGGCTGGCTTCAAATTTCTGATATTCTTTTTTTTTTTTTGTCGGTCGTGAGGCTTGAACTCTGGGCCTGGGCACTGTCCCTCAGCTCTTCAGCTCAAGGCAAGCGCTCTACCACTTGAGCTACAGCGCCACTTCCGGTTTTCTGGTGGTTTATTGGAGATAGGAGTCTCACGGTCTCTCCTGCCCGGGCTGGCTTTGAACCGCCATCCTCAGATCTCAGCCTCCTGAGTAGCTAGGATTACAGGCGTGAGCCACCAGCGCCCGGCAAATTTCTGATATTCTTACCTCAGCCTCTTGGAGTACAAGGATTATAGACAAGAACCACCACACCTGGCATGATATATACATACATACACACACACACACACACACACACACACACACACACACACACTTTTTGGTCAGTCATGGGGCTTGAACTCCAGGCTTGGGCACTGTTCCTGAGTAATTTTTGCTCAAGGCTAGCTCTCTACCACTTTGAGCCACAGTGCCACTTCCAGTTTTCTGGCAGTTAGAGATAAGTCTCATGGACTTCCCTGCCAAGGGTGGCTTTGAACTGAGATCCTCAGATATCAGCCTCCTGAGTAGCTAGAGTTACAGATGTGACTCACCAGCACCTGGCTTCTATACTTTTTGTTGTTGTTGGTTTTAGGGCTTGAACTCTGGCCTTGGGCACTGTCTTTGCGTTCTTCAGCTCAAGGAGAGCACTCTACCGTTTGAGCCACAGTACCACTTCCAGTTTCCTAGTGACTTATTGGAGATGAGTCTCACGGAGTTTCCTGCCTGGGCTGGCTTTGAACTGTGATCCACATATCTCAGCCTCCTGAGTAGCTAGCCACCAGCACCCAACTTCTATACCCTTTTGATGCTATCCTTTAGGGGATTCTTGCCCTCACTGTTTCTAACTAGGAGGGAGAGAGGAGCCCTCATTGTAATTCTCACATTCAGCCTCAGTTCAGGGAGAACAAGTTTCATCTGAGCTTAGGAATTCACTAGACCTGGCAGATGGAAGAATTAGGGGAAGGGATGTTTGGGGACAAAGGAGGGAAAGCACCTTACTCAGAAACTGATAGGCAGGAACTACGGATTCTGTGGCATTTTTGGTCATTCACATTAAGTCTGTACTGCAAACCTGAGTGTGCCAGGCCTCAGGCTGACCCACCTGCAGACTAGCACAGAGGGAAGGAAGCACCTGAGGACGCTGGTGTCTGTCAGGGGCCTTGGCCCCCATGTGACCTTAAGCTTCCTTCTCTGGACAATGGAGCAACACAACGAATGGGGCACATCATGTCAACTGCTTCTCAACTTAACCCTCATTTCATCCTGTGAAGCTGGTTCCATTGTGACCCTCAGAGTCTTGGGAGGAAGCCAAGTTGCCCACGGCCACATGGGCTCACCGGAGCTGAGCTATAAGCAGTGTGACCAACCTTGCTTCCTAATTCTTACGAAGGCAAGGCCCAACTGACCCCCTGGCTCAGACCTGCCCACACCTGTTTTCATTTGGCCCAACTTTTCATTTTGAAATGACAGTGACTCAGAAACAAGCACATTTTTCAGCTTCTCTTGAAAAACAAAAACAAAAGAGGAAAACATGTAGCCATCTGGCTACTACCGTGTGCTTCTGCATTCACACCAGGTCACCCCTTGCAGGAGGTGGGCAGCTGCTGGTAGTGGAAATGACCCCCAAGACGCATTGATTTGTGTTACCTGCATGACTACCACAGGGACCAGTCTGCTATCCTCAGTGAAGACAGGGAGTCCCAAGACAAAAGGAGATAGGCCCAGAGGGCCAAACGCCTTGCTCAGAGATAGCCAGCTCTCTCTGCAAGGGCCCAAATCCTGTGGAAGATGAATCTAGGCCACGGTGTGGGGAGGGGTGAAGAAAGCAGACATGCAGAACCACAGGGCGAGGTCGGGGCAAATACACTTTATTTAGTCCTGGCATCAGACCGGCGCAAGTCCTGCTGTGGGTGCCAGCGCCCCAGAGGGAGAGAATCCCCCCAACTCAGCTACAAGACTAGTTCTCCAAGACCACAGACAGTGACATCTCTTCACTCACATGACATTTTTTTTCATTGTCTTTTTGTTGTTTTCTTAAAAAAAAAAAAAAAAGGAAAAAAAGAAAAAGAAAAAGAAAAAGAAGAGCGCAAGAAAGGCCCAGAGCCGGAGCACCAAGCTTAAAGGAGGCAGCTGGTGGCTTTGTCAGCGAAGGGAACGCGTGGGGCAGAGCCCTGCAGAGACCCTGGGCAGGGGTCCCCGAGGACTCCGGGACCGTTTGTTCCTGAGATTTGTGTGTGTGAATGAGAATGTGTGAGCACCCAGGGGGGGTGAACACACGCCGGTGAGATACAGGTAGTGAGGGCAGGGGGGTGGAGGGAGAGGCCGGAGGGGGCCGGGGCCAGGGGGTAAGAGGGTAACAGCGTGGGGGCAGGGTTCCCACGGACACCCTGAACTGGACACGATTTTCTAACAGCAGCGCCGTCCGTATTTCACACAGGAAAAGGCTGGGATGCAATCGGCCTACGTCCACTCTCCTCTACCCATCCTTCTCCGGTCCCCCAGGACGGGGACGATGGTTTCTCTCAAACCACTTTTTCCTGCCGCTCCAAGCTCCTAGCACCAGCGTGCCTCAGTTTCTCCCACTGAATACTGCAGCTATAATGGTGGATGGGTTTGGGTGATTGGAAGGGACAGTCGTTAGGGAGGAGCCCGGGCTGAGAAGGTGCCCTGAGATGATAGGGCGTTTCCCAGGGTGGGGGAGGGAGCAGCTGGGACCCGTCTCCAGATTGGTGGGTGCATCAACTCAACAGTTTTCTGGGATAGCCCCTTCCTTTCTCAATTTGCCAAGCAAAAACCTGACTCCAAATCTCTCAGGGGCAAGTAAGGGACGTCTCTGGGGACCAAGTTTGGCGGTAAAGGCAGTTGAAGCCTTGGGTGTGGTGGGCCTGGACAACCCCATGGGGAGGGGGAGTAAAGGGGCCGTGCCTTTAGATGAGTTCCAAGCTCAAACTAGCCCCACCCGGACAGCTCTCTCCCTTCCCAGTGCTCCTCCCATTAAGGCAGTGACGCCCCGTCGGGTTGAGAGGGAGCCACGGGCTCTGGGATCAAAGGATTTCTTAGGATTGCTCTACACTCGCCCCCCGCCCTCCTTCACCCAGCAAACGGCAGGAAGCCTGCATCTGGCCTGGGATCGGCCCCCTCCTCCCAAGTAGCACTAGGCATGCGCAAGCGCAGGAGGGCGGGCCTAAGCGGAGGGGCGGGCCGTCGCGCTGGGGGGGAGGGGCGTGGGAGGGCCGCCCCTCAGGATCGCCCCCCGAACCCCGAAGACAGGCTAGGCCAGGGCGGAGGGAATCCGGAGCGAGGGAGGGGGCGTGTCCTCCGGCCACGAGGAAGGGCGAGAGGAAGGCGGTGGGGGGGCGGGGGAGGGGTGCAGGTCTGTAAAGGGGGGCGAATCGGCTTCGGAGGGGGGGCTGGCTGCTGGTGGCTGTGCGGGCGAGGACTGGATGGGGAGGGGCTTGGATGTCAGGGAAAGGGTGGGGGTTGGGCTGCCTTGGGGTGTGTCTGTGGGGGAGGGGCGCGTCTGGATCTAGGGGGATGGGCACATCCAGGAAGGGGGGGGAGGCTGCGCGGGAGGTGGGGTGCCAGCCTCGGCCTCCGAGGGGCCCCAATACCTGATTCCTGTATGTAAACAGCTGGTTTGGGGGCGTGCGCGCCCCGCTGACGGTGGGCTCAGTAGGTGAAAACCAGGTCGGCGATGCTAGACGGGCGCCAGTCCCCCGCGATCATCTCGGTCACCTCGGGGGTGCAGTAGTCCGGGAACTCGAAGTGTGACGTGCCCGTGGCGGGCGGCAGGTCCGGGTCGCGGTCCAGGGAGCTGCAGTCCAGGCCGGTGGGGACTGGGGGCAGCCTGGACAGAAAGCCCAGCGGCTCCTCCCCCGATGCTACAGTCTCCTCTTCGCCTTCCTCCGCGGCGGCCGCCTCCTCCTCCTCTTCCTCCGGCTCCTCCTCCTCCGACGGGGTCGGGGAGGCTGCAGGCGCGGCCACCCCCTCGCCCGGCGGACCCTGGGCGCGCTCGGCCGGCCCCCGGGCGGCTCTCCCCGCCGGGACCATTCTCCACAGCTCCCGTCCGGGCGTCTCCACCAGGCGCACTTCCAGCAGCTCCTCGTCGTCGTCCTCGTCGTCGTCCTCCGGCGCCGCCGCGCCGGCCCCCAGGGGCCCTCCCGTCGCCCGGCGGCCCCCGCGGCCCGGCAGCTGCGGCCCGGGCTTGAGCCGGCTGCCGCCTCCGGGGGGGCGGGGCCGCGCCTTGGCGGGCGCCCCCTTGCTCTTCTTGCGCGGCCGGTACTTGTAGTCCGGGTAGTCCGCCATGTGCTTGAGGCGCAGCCGCTCCGCCTCCCGCACGAACGGGATCTTCTCCGAGTCCTGCAGCAGCTGCCAGCGGCGGCCCAGGCGCTTGGAGATCTCGGCGTTGTGCATGTCGGGCCACTGGTCCATGATCTTCCGCCGTTCGTGCTGCGACCACACCATGAACGCGTTCATCGGTCTCTTTATGTGGCCGCTTGGGGTCTTGCACCAGCCGGGTTCGCGCGCCCCCTCCTCCGCCGGCCCGGGCCCCGGGGGCGGCGGCCCGCCGTCCCGCTTGGCCCGCGCGCCCCGCTGCTGCACCATCGCGCCTGGGCCCGGGCCGCTAGACGCCGCCGGGGGCCGTCCGCATCCTCCGCGGCTGGGGATGGGGGAGGAGGCTGCAGCGACGAAGGGGCGGCCCCGCCCCGCGGCTCGGCCCGGCCCCCGCGAGCTGGGAGCAAGGAGCTGGGCGCTCCGGACCAACGGACGGCGTGGGGGGAGGTCAGCGGCGCGGTCTCAAGCGGGTTCGGCGCGCCCCCGCCGCCCCGGGCAAGTTGCTCCCGGCCGCACGCCGCACATTGTTTTGCGGGGGTGGAGAAATAGCGCCGCCCGGGCCCCCCGCGAGCTCTTCTCGCAGGCTCCGGCTCCGCCGCGGCCCGCGCGCGCCTGTCCCCGCCCGCAGCCGCCTTCCAGTGTCTTTCTCCCCGCGCGGCCCCGCCGGCGCGCGCCACCTCCACCCCCCTCCCTCCCTCCCCTCGCCGTCTGCGGGCCGCTGCAGCGCGCGCGGGGCCGCCCCGTGTAAACACCGAGGTGCCCGCCTGGGCTGCGGCCCCGCCACGCCCCGCGCTCAGCGGCGCGTCACCCGTTGCTGGGCAGAGAACCCGGTATTTGCATCTCCCAATCGCTGGACGGCGGGGCGGGGCGGTCTCCCGCCCGGGATTTTGGGGGGGCGGAAGGCAAAAGGATGAGGTCGGTTTCTTTTCTTAGGTTGGGGGCTAGCGGGAAGGTGGGGGGAGCTGGGAGTAGGTGTGGGGGATCTGATGAGCTTCCATCTGCTTCCTAAAAGCTTTTCCTTGCTCCGCGTTGCCTTTGCAATTGTAGTGTATTCGGGGACACCTGCCGACAGGTAGGACTCCGGATCCTTTCTCATTTGGGCCGTCGTCTCAGAAGAGGTCCCCTCCCCCCTCCTTGGAGAAGGGGAAGAGATCAACACTTAGAAAAGCAAAGAAGCTCACTTTATCACAGATGTAGCCCCATGTCTAAACTCAGCAACCAGCCACGGATGAGCTTAAATGCTTTGAGATCCAATAAACGACATTTTATCTAGTTTGAGGAGGCCAGAGACACAAGGGAAAGTGATGCCGGCTGCTTCGAAGACGAAGCCCCAGGGCAGGCTCCCAGCGGCTCGAGTCCGGCCGGTCTCAGCGCCCTCCCTCGCTGGAGCGCACCGAGGGGCCGGGACACCGAGGATCCGGGGCACCGTGGGGCTGGGACGGGCGATTCCTGCGGCTCAGAGCCGGCCCCACGCACGAGCCGCCCGCGCGCTAGGCGGTGTGCGCGTCGCTCCTCCCCGGCCGGGAGCTGCGTGCACGGGCGCGGGGCGGAGCCGCCCCGGGGGCGTGGCCAGGCCGCCGGCTCCGGGCGCGTGGCGGGGAGGGGCCGCGCGCTCCTGGCTCACCACGTGTAAGCGAGTTCTGGCACCACCCGGCGTGTGCCGCCCCCGAGGGAGGTCACCTTCACGCTGCCGTGGGTCTGAGCGCTGGGAGGGGGGCGCCCAGGCCTCGCCCTTGTAAGCAAGGGTTGGGAGGGGTCAGGACTGGGGTCTGGAAGGTGGCATCCCCCGGCGATGTGGTGGGCTCGGATGGGGGCGGGGAACGCGCTTCCCAAGAACAGCTCGGGCGACGCCGGGCGAGTGCGGACCCGGCCCCAGCGGGGAGGAGCGCGGGTGGGGGTGCGGGGAGTGGGGGAGGGGGCGGGGTGGGGGTGGTTGCTGGAGCATCCTTGGCGGGAGGAGGCGACTCTTAAAGGCATAGAGCGCTCGGAAGGCGATGCCTCTGCCCCTGCACGCATGGTCCCTCCACCTCATTGGAAGTGAAGAGCTGAAAATCCCTTACATTTGAGTCTTCACTACAGCCTGGGCGGTTCATTCATTGTTCGACAGAACTAGATCTGGTTAATGTTTACGTCCTAGAGCCCCCTTTTGCTTGACTCTCAAAATGGAAATCAAGTGCCTTCGCCTTCTTCCGATTGTTCTTACAGCTTCAGTGCAATTATGAACGTAAACACATTCCCGATGCTTCGAAAATGTTCAGTCATTTATCTGGGATTTGATTTCCCAATACATAATTTAACACAGGTCATCAGTAACACAGATGGCAACTTCCCGAAGAGAGAAAGAAAGGATGTAAGATTTAGCATTTCAGAAAAGGTATCAAAGTAGTAATTATGGCAATAATAAAAAAAACTTTCTTGGTATTTTTAAGACCTTTATTAATGCTGTTTTTTTTTTTTTTAACGATATGAACATGCAGAGCCTTCATTTCCATGCGATAGTTCTCACAGGCTTGTCTTTGACCCTGACCTTGGAGCTGCCACTATTCTAGTGTGTCTGAATAGATTCTCAGTTCTAGTTTGATTGGACCAAGGTTTTCCTTGTTGTTAGCAGGGAAAATGATACATATGTTGTAATATCATTCCTCCCTCTGTGTGTCCACCTGGTTAACCCCTCCTTACTGATTTTTCCCATTCCACACTGGAATACCTTGAAAGACCCTCATCTGCTTTTCCCCAAGCAACTTTCAGAACACAGTAAGGACACAGACATGAAGATAGGGTGAATTCACTGAGGGAATGAGCGATGTCATCACTCTCCCCCCCCCACCCCACCCCCACATTTTCTTCAAGACATTTATGCTGTCTGTGATCCTTCTCCTGGAAGAGAGCTCACTCAGTTGAAGCCAGGACTATAGGTTAAACAGCAGTGACTAGGACCTAGGTCCCTTTTCTTTCTTTTCTTTTTTGGTCAGTTGTGAGGTTTGAACTCTGGGCTTGGGCGCTGTCCCTCAGCTTTTCAGCTTAAGGCAAGCACTCTACCGCTTGAGCCACAGTGCCACTTCTGGTTTTCTAGTGGTTTATTGGAGATAAGAGTCTCATGACTTTCCTGCCCAGGCTGGCTTTGAACCATGATCCTCAGATCTCAGCCTCCTGAGTAGCCAGGATTACAGGCGTGAGCCACTAGTGCCCAGCTTAGGTCCTTTTTCTTAAAGAGTGAACGGAGCAATGTGTAGCCAGTGTTGGTGAGTCATGTTTATAAACTTCAGAAGGCTGAGAATGGAGAATCAAAGTTTGAAGCCAGCTGGGACAGAAAATCTAAAGTCTGAGAGACTCTTACTTCCAATTAATCAATAACAATAACAAAAAGCCTGAAATAAAAGTGTGGTTCAAGTGGGAGAGCCAGCTTTGAACTAAAGAGCTGAGCTCACCACCAATTAATTGGAGATAAGAGCTTCACCCGACAATCCTCAAACCTCAGCCTCCTGAGCAGCTAGTAGTATAGGCATGAGGCACAAGCACTGGGCTGGTGTGTGTGTGTGTATTTGTGTGTGTGTGTGCGCATGTGTGTGTGTGTGTGTGTGAAAGAGAGAGAGAGAGAGTGTGTCTTACTGTGTTGCCAATCTGTCTGGTCTTGAACTCCCAGGCTTAAGTGGCACTCTTTGTCCCAGCCTCTGAGTGCTGGGACTATATAGAGTTACATCACTTATGGCCTAGTTGGAAGTGGGAAATTTGGAGGGGGAAATATCAGCCAAAAGTTATGTTTCAAAAATATGGCCATGGGCTGGGAAGGTGGTTCAGTGGTACAGTGCTTGCCTTGCATGCATGAGGCCTTGGGTTCGATTCCTCAGCACCACATAAGCAGAAAAAGCCGGAAGTGGCGCTGTGGCTCAAGTGGTAGAATGCTAGCCTTGAGCTAAAGAGCTGAGGGACAGCGCCCAGGTCGAGAGTTCAGGCCCCACAACTGGCAAAAAAAAAAAATATATATATATATATATATATGGCCATAAATTCCTTGATATTCCTAATGCCTCCTCTCTCCCAAGTGCAAGCTGTAGTCACTTACTTTTTTTTTTTTTTTGCCAGTCATGAGGCCTGAACGCTGTCCCTCAGCTCTTCAGCTCAAGACTAGTGCCCTACCACTTGATCCACAGTGCCACTTCTAGCTTTTTCTGCTTATGTGGTGCTGAGGAATCGAACCCAGGGCCTCATGCATGCAAGGATAGAACTCTACCACTGAACCACCTTCCCAGCCCATCACTTACTTCTAATAAAATGTAGCAGAAAAGATGATATGTGACCATCAAGGTTCAAACATTGTGTTAGCGCTGCCTGGATGTGAGAAATGCCTGAGAGACCCAGTTTAAAGGAAGTGGGATTTATTTTGGCTGCCAGTTGGTGGTGAGCTGGCTCTGTTGCATGAGCCTGGGGCAGGCTGAGTATCATGGCAGGCAGGAGCAGTTGTGCAGGAACGCAGTTCACTTCCTGATGGTTGAGAAGCCAAGATAAGAGATGGGAGGAACAGGCCTATGGGCCTAGTACAAGGTTAAGACCCACCCTGGGTCACCTACCAACCCCTCCCCACATATCACTACCAGCTAGAAATCAAAGCTGTGGAGGACATTTCTTTTTTTTTTTGTCCATCATGGGGCCTGAACTCTGGGCCTGGGCGCTGTCCCTCTGCTCTTCAGCTGAAGACTAGCACTCTATCACTTGAGCCTCAGCCCCACTTCCAGCTTTTTCTGTTTATGTGGTGCTGAAGAATTGAACTGAGGGCCTCATGCATGCAAGGCAAGCACTCTACTACTGAGCCACCTTCCCAGCCCCAAGGAGGACATTTCTTTGCCTGCCTGCCTGCCTGCTTTCTTTCTTTCTCTTTCCTTTCCTTTTCTTTTCTGTCAGTCCTGGGGCTTGAACTCTAGGCCCGGGCCCTGTCCCTGAGTTCTTCAGCTCAAGGCAAGTACTCTACCACTCGAGCCACCACACCACTTCTGGTTTTCTGGTGGTTAATTGGAGATAAGAGTCTCATGGACTTTCCTACCTGGGCTGGCTTTGAACTGTGATCCTCAGATCTAAGCCTCCTGAGTAACTAGGATTACAGGTGTGAGCCACTGGTGCCCAGTTTGTGGAGGACATTTCATATTCAAACCCTAACAGATATAAAGGCTTTGTAGTCTCCTCTATCTCATATCTTTCTTGGGAGAAGCCAGCTGCCATGTTGTAAGGACCTTCAAGCAGCCCTATGAGAGGGCCCATGTGCAAAGGGACTGAGGCAACCAGCTTCAGTTGTCTGCCATCATGGAATGAGATTCTCTAGCCCCAGTCAAAACCTTCAGATGAATGCAACCCTGGGCAGCATGTTAACAATAGTAGCCTCATGACAGGCTGAGACTATAGGGGTATGTTACTGTGCCCTATTTGAAAGTAGAAAATTAGCTGGGCATCAATAGCTCATGCCTGTAATCTTAGCTAATCAGGAGGCTGAGATCTGAGATTTGTGATTCAAGCCAACCTGGCAGAAAAGTCCATGAGAGTCTTATTTCTAATTAACCACCAGAAAACTGGAAGTGGTGTTGGGGTTTGAAGTGATAGTGTTAGCTTTGAGCAAAAAAAATGCTCAGGGACAGTGGTTA